CGTGCTTGTGCAAGCTGTGGGAAGGAGGTCAGTGCCTTTCACCTTTGTTTCCCCAGCAGAGCTCTTGAACAAGATGAAGTGATCAAAGCCGGGTGCCAGCGCATCATCACAGTCTCATTACTTTGCAAGCTGCACGCCCAGATGCTGCTGTTTTCTGCATCAGGCTTCGCTGATTTACATTCATAACACTTCCATTACAGCTCATTTGATACTACTCATAATTAACCAGTTCTTTTCTTTTCATGATAGTGTTTCTCCAATACAAGAGATGCTAATGTAAAGAAGAAAATGACGTTACTAGGTATAGAATGCATCTTTCAGACATCCTGGTTGGTTGACAAGAGGCAGGAATCAAATGCTTTGTCACTACTTAGATCATTTGTCGTTTGGGTTTGGTTAGCTGGATGTTGGTTTGGGGGTATTTTTGAAGTCTTTGAATTTGAGATAGTGGATTTTGCCAGCAGACCCATTTCGTCAACTCCCCTATCCTGGAAGTTCTTTTCAATTAGTGGATTCTGACACACTGTCCTCTTTGGTTTCTTCCCCAATGAAGAGCTCAGTGACATATGTCTATTTTGAAAGGTATGAATGTGACAACTTTGCTTTGGAGAACTTTATCATCATTAATATCAGTGCAGCCATCCTTCAAGTTTCTCTTTGCTGCATGCTCTATAGACACTGTAAACACAGAAATATAAGTTTGAGTCGCTGCCGTCAGAGGTCTTGTTGAAGTATAGCTTTTCTGTAGAAGTGTCAAAACCTGATACAGGAATTATAACTTTAGCATTTGTTCAAGAAAAATTGTTGAGAATCTCAGACATTCCAGGTGTTTTTTATAAACTGGAAATACAGAGATGAAGAAGGCCATGATCTTTGCCTTCGAAACCCTTACAATATACATGGGGAGACAGATTAATACAAAAGTGACTAAAATGTGGTAAATGCTGATACAGAGGCACAAACAAAACACTGTAGGAATAAAGAGGGGAATGTGGATTGTGGGAGGAGGTGAATAGCATAAGCTTGGGTCTTCTCACCTTGAGATGTTCTTAAGGTAAGAAGATAGAGAATTGCTTCCCATGAAGAGGGAATCAAATGCTAGAAATGGTTGGAATGAACATGGGGGGAGGTGTGATGGAATATGAGGCCGTAAAGGAAGATTGCAGTCAGACTCTGAAGGACTTGAAATGCCAGTTTTGAAAGGCTGAATTAATAGAGTGTGAGGATTCAACCAAAAGTTCTACATAACTTAGGAATAATTTTCTCTGTCACCCATTCCTGGTGCCTATAATTCTCACCATTAGAATTATGGCTTTTGAGTTGGTCATTGTTTCTACACATCTTCTATCAAATATGCAAGTATGATATTTGGTGCATAAATATGTGTGCATATTATAATACTCACAATTTGCTGTATCATTAATTATTATTATGTTAACATTATAATATCCATTCAAAAATAAGTACATATTAGCTTACTGTATTAATTATCTCTTAGCAAGTTTCAGGGCCTTGAGAGAATGGGACATAGGAAATAGTAGTTTTGATTGAAAAGATGGGGAAAGGAGAGTTCAGGAAAGGTTTGGTTCATGGAATGCTGTCTGGGGGAATCTTAGAGCATTTTAGCAGAGAGAAAGCCCCAAGGAGATAAGGCACCAAGAGTCAGTGGGCTGGTTCCTCATTTTAGCACGTCCCTGCGGTCCATTTTGTGTGATTGTCTTTGGATCGAAATGGTATAATGGTGAACTTTTAAAAATATTCCTAACCATGATCTCTTTGAATGGTGTCCTAAGAATTCACATGGTACCAACTTCTGCATATTGTTGCAAAGAATGTGTTAGAGGCAAATTGTGTGTGGTTTATTCAGATGTTGTCTATCTGGATGTACAGTTTTTGGTTTATGTCTGTAATTATGATTGTATGCACCCAAGATATATAAAATTAGCTCACATTCTAGGTAAATTTTCTACTGTTAGTCCACCTGAAGATCCTAGTATTATTAAATGAGCTTTTTAAGTATTCTTTCTCCTTCCCATTTGCATTTTGTGATCAATTTTTGCCTTTTGATACCTTCCTGGAGGCTTAGTGTAGGGAAAAGAATATGAAATTAATAAATGGCTATTGGTTTTTTTTAATTATCAAGGTAGTAGTATTTTTTTTGTTAACAAGGCAAATGTAATCTTTTCCTCTTTTCTTCCAGATCATCTCCTTAAAAGTAAAGTGTGTGAAGTTGTAGTTTGATAGTCATCCTTCCACATTTATCTCTATCCACAGAAACATTAATAAACATAGATTTTGTTTTATTTTTACAAAAAATGTGAGATTATACCATATGTATTTTCTGAAACTTACGTTTGTTATGGAAATATCCCCCTTGTCAACACATAATAAATCCAACTCATTCTTTTAAATACCTGCATAGTATTCCTTGGCATTGATCTACCATAGTTTACTGAGCCCACCCCGTACTGACAGGCACTCAGGTTCTGTTTCAAATGATTTTTTTGTTTGGTTTTTGACCAGTAAAAAAAAGGCTGCAGTGAAACAAACTTTTGCTTCCCTAACATAGTTGGGGTTTGAATATGACCAGTCCTCCTGACTATGTGGCATTGGGCCACTTATGTTGGCCTTCTTTTTGCTGATGTAGGAAATGTATATATGACACCTCATGTTGTTGTTATAAGGGGTGATGAATAATGTAGGTAAAATTCCAGGCATATAGTAAGCACTCTCAACCCTACATAGGGTCAGTTTCTGTAGGGATCTTTCGGGGTTTGAGTTGGCACGGCCTAGGTTACTTAACCTTAGAGGTTTTATTGCAGCATGAATCAAAATCTGGCTTTCCAAGCCTCCTTTTTTTTTTTAAAGAAAAGGAAAGCACTTTTCGTGAAAATTTTCAGCTTTTTTGACTTGTGTAATTTAAAAATATTACATTTTGGCACAACCTTTGCAGTTTTTGCTGCTCATTCGTAATTCCTTAGAGGTGAATTGAGAAGATTAGTGGTAGAACTTTTTCCATTAACTCTGGGAAAAACTACAGACCAAAAAATTGTCCTTTGGCAGAAATGTCAATCCATACCTCTTTTGGAGCATTAGGAAACTGAAGCACTGAGAAGCTGATTTAATAGAAGAATTGAAAACCAAAATGTATACACATCTTCACCTTTCTAACTGACGACAAGACAGATGAAAAAGATGCTCTCAGAACTTGATGATGCAAAGAAAATAGGATTGTTGATCCAGAGAGTGCATTAAGGCTAGATCTTTAAAAGATTTGAGGGCTAAGCTTTTGGCCACGTTCTTCAGAAAGCTGATCCATTCTTATTAATGATACATCTATTTGTACTTCATGACATAAAATTCCCCCCCTTTTTTTTTGAAAAAGAAGATTAGCCCTGATCTAACTACTACCAGTCCTCCTCTTTTTTGCTGAGGAAGCCTGGCCGTGAACTAACATCTGTGCCCATCTTCCTCTACTTTATATGTGGGATGCCTACCACAGCATGGCGTGGCAGGTGGTGCCATGTCCGCACCCAGGGTCCGAACCCCAGGCCTCGGAGAAGCGGACGTGCGAACTTAACCGCTGCGCCACGGGGCCGGCCCTCCCCTTTTGTATGATGTAGTATCTGGGAAGTAGATTTAAGAAAAAAGGAAGGTTTTATATGCTACAGGTTTTGCTATAGCAAATACCAGACAATATGTTCATTTTCTCTTGTTTGTGGTTCTTGGTTTTCCTGATTTTTTTTTAACTTATTGGGACTTCTCTTAATTTTTCCATTTCATAATGTCAGTATAGCTATAATGAAATAGTAAATACCCGTGTGGGCAAAATTTCTACTGGGCATAATCTTTATAGCTATCCTTCACACAATGCAATAGACTTGTTCTAGCAAGTTACTTCTTCTCCCCCACTCCACCCCACCCCTCCTCCCCCTTCATAGTTTTCTGCATTTTTAAAAGGTGATAATCACAGAGATGTTATATAGGAATTAAATAAGGTCCATTCCTGTTCTTGGCACATCCTAAGTAGTCAATAGTTAGCTAATTATTATAGTCACCAATGGTTCAAGTTTCTGTTGAGTGAATTGTGTGTTTTTAATTGATGCCCATCATATAATCCAATATATATTTCCTGAGAGGATAATCTCTGGACATATAAAATTGCAACTGAGAGTATACCATCCCTCTAAAAACATGTTTAAAGACAAATGTTTTCTGTCAAATCATTAACTAACAGCAACACTACTCAAAATAATAATTATATTTCAACGTGCTAAGGAAGTACGTAATTTAGTTAGAAATACATATGGGAGGCTATGCTTGGATGATTACAGCTATTGTTAGTTTAGGGTATAATTCTCATCTAATAACTTGTCATACCTTTAGAATATTTATATTAATTTAGTGTTGTAGGCAATTATAGATTGGTAGTCTATAATGAACAAACAAAATTCATCTTAAAATTTGTTCTGAAGTCAGTTGCTTGGCATTTTGATCATAATTTTTCTCAGAAATAAAAGTGACACTTGTGGTTAAGTGTCTAGGGTAGTCCTCAAAAGCCTATTTTACTCCTGTATGTTTGCAATTAAGAATGAAATACTAGAGGGGCTGGCCCCGTGGCCGAGTGGTTAAGTTCGCGCGCTCCGCTGCAGGCGGCCCAGTGTTTCGTTGGTTCGAATCCTGGGCGCGAACATGGCACTGCTCGTCAAACCACGCTGAGGCGGTGTCCCACATGCCACAACTAGAAGGACCCACAACGAAGAATATACAACTATGTACTGGGGGGCTTTGGGGAGAAAAAGGAAAAAATAAAATCTTTAAAAAAAAAAAAAAAGAATGAAATACTAGAGGTTACGGAGTGGGAAACAAAAAAGAAAGAGAAATAGTGCATTTGCCTGTGTGTGTGTGTGTGTGTGTGTGTGTGTGTGTGTAAACTACATTCTGGATTTAAAAAGTTAACCTGACTGCAGGTATCACCTTGCTTCTGTGAACAAATGTAGATCCCTGTGGAGAGTGAAAAGAAATGCAGAAACCTTGGAAGGAGCAGCCCCTCCTGATCTCCTGGTCCCTCCAGTAGTTTTTAAGCAGTGAGTGGAATCCTGTTTTCAAGTGAAATCTTGTGTGGAATCCTAACACTTAGAACTGATAATATGCTGTTTTATTAATATAACAGTAGTTTATAAGCTTATTTACAACCTTTGCTTATTATCAAGAAAACAATGAAGCTTACTTTCATGAATACAGCATTTAAAAATCAGGGGCCAGGGCTGGCCCGGTGGAGTAGTGGTTAAGTTAGCATACTCTGGTTCGGGGGCCTGGGGTTCGTGTGTTTGGATCCTGGGCACAGATCTGCACACTGCTCATCAAGCCATGCTGTGGTGGTGTCCCTCATGCAAAATGGAGGAAGACTGGCACAGATGTTAGCTCAGGGCCACTCTTCCTCAAGCAAAAAGAGGATTATTGGCAACAGATGTTAGCTCAGGGTCAGTCTTCACACACACACACACACACACACACACACACACACACACACACACAAAAAAAAAACTCAAGGGCTGAGGATAATGGCTACAGTCTTATGTCAACCTCAGTACCCAGATTTATTTATTTGGTTGCCCATGTTGGGATAATCCTGATTTACAGTGATAAGTAGTGGCAAATGATAATAGTTTTTTTTTTAACAGTTTGCCTTGCAATCTCAAGATACTCATCCATCAGTCTGATCCATATGATTAAAAGTGAAATAAGTTTCTGCTTCAAAGCTGGATAATTGACAGTATCTAATAAATCATAATATAGAAGTTGGGACAAACACCCCAAACTTAATAATATTAAATCACAGTGTGAAAATAACCTTTGACACCTCCTCAGCCTCCTCTTATGCCATGCTCCTTCGTGGAGCTCAGAGATCATTGGTTAAAGAGAGAACGTGCCTCGCACCTTGATGCCTCTGCAGCTCTGCTCACGCTGCCTCCGTAGCACAGCACACCTTCCGCATCTCCCTCCTGGTAAACTCGTCCATTTGTCAAGACCTGCCTTATATGTTAGTGTCTCTGAAGTCTGCCTTGACACTTCCCTTCCCACTCCCTCTGCCCAAAAAAAAAGGGCACAATTAATTGTTCCCTTTGTGTTCCTTTAACTGAAATCCTTATTACAACCCAGTTTGTATCATGTTTGTCTGCACCTATCTCCCTTCTAGAACAAGAACCCCTTAAGGCATGAGCTGTATCTTAGCAGGACTATTCAGTAGTACAGGTGCTCAATTAACATCATATTGTTATTTACTAAATTGAATTAAACTCTTATAAAACTTTTTCCTGCTTTTTAACTTTGACTCAGAATGTTTTCATCTGAAGGGACCTTGAATTTAAGGTAGAAGAAATCATTGTCTGAAAAGCTAAGTAAGAATTACAGAGTCTTGGGAGTTTGAAAGGCCCGTTACCAAGGTCATATTTCAAGTTACAGTTGTGACCCTCACTCCCAGTTGAAATGAAAGCTCCTTGAGGGCAGGAGTTGTATCTTACTGTGTTTGTAGATCTCCCCAAGCACCTAGCACGTATACTGCACTTAGTAAATACATGCTGAAATAAATTCCTTCAGCAAATCAGAGGACTGTGGCTATGTGACTTCTCTCTGTCCAGCCTAATGGCTTGATTTATCTAGCTTTTGATGGTCTTCATTACAGGCTGTTAATACAGGGCTGATTTCTGTTGGACATGAGCTAATTGCCAGGATTCATCTCCAATACATGCCAGAGAGGAGGCGGGCTTTCCTGTGAACAGTATCAATACAGTAGTTAAGACTGTAGCAAAATTCAAAATATAGTGGAGAATTATTACATTAAGGTTTGTCCTTATTTGGGAATTCTTTCAGTTCAGATTTCTGTACAGTGTAAATTTTTGTTAAGCAAGGATTATTGATACTTGGAAACTTCTTGACTTTTGCTATTTTTTTTTTGTAAGATTTTATTTTTTTTCCTTTTTCTCCCCAAAGCCCCCTGGTACATAGTTGTATATTCTTCGTTACAGGTCCTTCTAGTTGTGGCATGTGGCACGCTTCCTCAGCGTGGTTTGATGAGCAGTGCCATGTCCATGCCCAGGATTCAAACCAACAAAACACTGGGCTGCCTGCAGCAGAGCGCGCGAACTTAACCACTGGGCCACGGGGCCAGCCCTGACTTTTGCTATTTTTGAGGACTATTTTTCACTTCTGTTAATGTACACAGATTTATGTATTTTCCAAAACCAAAGTGCATCTCAGTTACATTTTCTAGTTGAACTTGGAAACAGGACAGCTTCAAGTCAGGTAGCTCTCTACCAAGAAAGCCAATTAAAGACTTTGTAACAAGTTATTTTCTTATGAAAGCAACTTACCTGCTTTCCCCATGAGTCTCTATTGTCTAATATACGAGTCTGTGTTAAACTTGATTGTAGGCGTTTTCTGAGGCAAGGCACTGATGGAGCGAAGGCACGGAGGAGAAACTCATATGCTTTAAGAAAAGGATAAGAGAGCCCTTTCTTTTTCTGGCTCAATTAAAACTACTGATTGTCAAGTCCCATTAACCTAGTGGGTCCCTACCTTGCATGCATTAGCAGCAGCCCCACTGTAGTGTGGAGTAGTCTTGCCACATCATGGACACATTTATGAAGATTGATAACAGCTAAGGTTCAGTGTTAACTTTTATTGTCAGGCAGGCTATACAAGAAACTGTCTGGTATTGGCTTTTGCTTTGATTTATGAAAAGGTTGCCACGTGAAGAAGACATCACATAAAGCAGCACTGCCGGCAGCGGTGTTATTAGATGCCATTGTAAGTATAGGAAATAATAACTAACTCTAATTAGGTTCATTATCCTCTCTTGCTACATTCTGTACTTTTGATGGGGTAGGCCCTCTTAGCAGTGCAGTATCTTCTCAAAGGAACAGGTCGCCTGCCTGCTTTCGCTTGGGTTAGCATGTTCCTCCAAACATTTCCTCTTAACAGTAGCTAGCATTGTGATGCTGGTCGTCTATGAGGGGATCATTAAGTAGTCGACTTGATGGTTCAGTTATCCCACAGTGACAGCATCGAGTAATTACCTATTGGTTTTGCCACAGGGCACACATGCGGGCACTCTCTCCCACGCAAACGCCATGGATGGAAGGACTCTGAAATTCTGCCTCCTGAATATCTGCAATAGCTCCAAGTAGTAGCAGGTGGCTCGGCTGGAAAATGGTACCTATAGCTTCTTGCTCAATAGGACTTTTGTCCCCAAGGAGAATAGTCATTACTTTGTCTCGGCTTTTTAGTTTCAATGAACTTTGGTATGGTGGAGTGTCTTTTATGCTGTAAAAACTTTCCTTTCCTTTGAAATCTTTGTTTGGTCTCTCTAGTTCCAGTTGCGTCTTAATATGCAAGAAAGGCAGCTGTGTTTTCCTTTAGGCAAATATAATTGTGGGGGAAGGCGTCTCTGTTTATCCCACGGACAAATACATTATGGGTAATGCCAAAAAAAAAATCCTGGGACCCCAGAAAAATTACGTAAATCTTTTCAACTCTCTATAAAGCAGATGAGTGCTGCCCTTTTATGTGGCTACCTCCTGCAACCAGCATTTTCTTTAGAGCCAACAGCTGTGGCAGGCTAGGACAAACACATGCACAGGAGAAATCACCACCTTTCTTTCAGTTCCCAGGTAGAGACAGATGCCTTGTGTGTCTCTTCTGGCTTCCTGGTTTTTTTCAGGCAGCCACATTTCTAGTCATGGTGATGTTCCAAATTATTTTGAGGCTTTTGTGTGTCACTTAATCGAATTAAATTCTGGCAAGATTTTGCCATTCTCTGATCTTCTGTTAACTTCTTTATCCAGGGAGATCCTTTGTGCAAGTGTGGGAGACAATTCTCTCTAAGCAGTAGAATGAAAGAATACAGGCAGAAACATATAGAGTTATCCTTGGGAGCGGAATGTGGCCCTGGCCCAAGCAGGTTGCATCTAATAGCTTCTTGTTGCCTGGAAGGCTTCTGTTCCTGGAATGGCTTGGAGTGATGAAGCGGGCCCCTGTCATAAAGCAGAAAGCACAGCAGCAGCTGGGGAGAATCACATTTGGCCCACAATGGCAGGCAGTAAGATGGTGCCCTGGAAGGCCCGCTTTCTGGGGTGGGGGGAGCCAAATTATGAAGGTTGGCTGCGAGGTAGTGTCATTAAGGGCTTTCTGGAGAGAGAGAGCAATTAAATTCGAAGCCAAATGAAGGAGTTTGTTAATATATGGGGAAGGTACTCCTAAAAGGCTCATGCAGGCTATCTAGTGACTGTCATGAAGCTTTCTTTTAAACGCATACTTTTAAAAAGGGTAAATGGTGAATCTGAACCTCAAATCAGCTTAAAAAACAGGTATGATTAAGATTAAGGCTTAAACATTAACAGGGCCCACTCTTTTTCTCCAGGAAGTAAAGAAACACAGTGCTAAGCCCAGATGATTTTTCCTGGCTTTGCTTGCTTTTTAGAGGGATATGGAATGAGTCAGAAAGGGGTATTATCTGGTCTGTTTCATACTTTCAGAAGCCTTAGATTTTGTACAGCAAAGTGCTCATTGGAAGAATGCCAGGCCTTGTGAATTTCAGCATCGCAGTGTACTCAGCCTTATCCACAGGACCGCAGGACCGCAGGACCGCAGGACCACAGGACCACAGGACCACAGGAGAGTGCAAAAGCAAGAGTGTCAAACCCAGCGCTAAAGCTAGAACACGAGAGGAAACTTTAGTACAAAGGAAGGCAAATAAATTTGGTTTCAGGCACGCATTCATTGTAGTGACCTCCCTGCAGCATTTTGTTGAGAAGGATTCTGAGGCTGTGACAAGGCTCAGCCTGGAACGTCATGATTGATTAGTGATGTCTGTTATTGGCATAAGCATTGAGAGAGTTGGCACTCTTCCTTTATATTTGCTACCCCCGCTTTAGAAACATACGTAAAAATCTCTGTTTACTCCTTAATCACAGTGCCTAAACCAGAAATGGGAAGGACGGGCGAGAAGGAGGAAGGAAGGAAGACTGCATAGTGCGGTTTTTCTATCTTTTCTCTGTTCTCTTTTCACCTTTTCTCCTACAGCAGG